CATGGTCGGCACCTTATCCGAAAGTGTCAATTTGTTTAAAGGCAAAATTTTTGCAGGTTCGAGTTATCGGGAAGTTTCGTGAAAGCGAGGTTTCGAGAAATTGGGGGTGAGATTATATTGCTTAAGTGAAGCAAATCCATGGGAAACAAGGTTTGGTTTGAGATATCGGGAGGTTCGAGAAACCGAGGGTTCGAGAAATCGGGATTCCACTGTAACTCTCATTTCGATCTGCAGACAGTCGTCCAATCGATGTAATTTGTATCAACAATCAGTCGATAATTCAAGGCCTACTGAGAGATACAACGTCTTAACTCATACATGTTCTGCCATTGAACAGATGTACGTGTACTATACACTTTGATAATTACTACTTCCCTTAGCTTGCCATGCTAAGTCAGCTTTCAACTAGAATTTAAAAGAGAAAAGACAAAAATACTGCTTTCTTCTGGAATATTTTCCATTTTCTCACCATCTTCCTTTGTTCTTGCAAACACAGCAGTACTTTTTGGTCCATCACCGACAGAAGTAAAGGCCAATATTTGAAATTCATATTCCGTGTACTTATCGAGCGCTGCGACGTCTTGACTGTGAGTTGTTCCGTTGCCAATAGTTAAAGTTTTCGGTGGCCCTCCAGAGTGCTTTTTTCTGTACAATAATCTAAATCCTCTGATGACTCCATTTCTGTCAATTTCTAGTGGTAGTTGCCAGGATGCTGTTACACTGGTGGAATTATTCACAATCACAGTAAGGTTACTGGGTGCTGTGAACGGAACTGTAACAAAAACATTGACTTTCACTTGATATGCCTCGACAAATATTAGAGATGACTGGCTGACTTACTGACCGACTGACCGACCAAATCAACGAACAAACACAAAATAGACCGCCGCCCAGTTAGCCCAATGGATAGTGCGCTGGACTGTTGTGCGAGAGGTCCAGGGTTCGAGCCCAGGCCGGACCAACACTCAAAGTCTTAAAACAATTGACAAGAATATGCTACCTTTCTATAACATCAAGAAATGGTTATATATTCTAGTCTTCTCGGATAGGGACGAATAAATGGAGGTCCCGTCTCCTGCAGGGTTGGGGTAGGAGACGTTAATTTCCCACACACGAGATTACTGTGTGATGGATGTCCTCCTCTGGGGTGGGATGGGTGGGAAGGTGGACTAGCTCGAATGGTTCGTATGTTCCCTTCTAGTCCTTCCCCACTGCAATTAAAGCAGTGAAAATGGAATAAATTAAAAAATAAGGCGGTTGGACGGTGAATATGTAACTAGTAAAGTAACGGTCACAGTTAACTCTTACCATCCTCTTTAGTTTTCTCGACGTTAACAGAGGTCTTTGGTCCATCACCAACAGAAGTGAAGGCCAACACTTGAAATTCATATTCCGTGTTCTTATCAAGTCCAGTGACAAGCACAGTGCGAGTTGTTCCGTTTCTGATCGATAGCATTGTGTGTAACCTGAGAGATCCTGTCTTTCTGTAGAACAATTTAAATCCTAAGATGATTCCATGTCTGGACCCTGCTGGTGGTAACCGCCACGCTGCTGTAACACTGGTAGAATTGCTCGAAGTTACAGTGAAGTTAAGTGGGGCATAGGAAGGGACTGCAATTGAAAACACAACGTATAAGAACCACTGATTACTAGTAATCATACAGCATTAAAATCGAATCAGCTGTCTAGTCGCATTAAACCATAGGCGATCCAAGCGTATATGACGAAACCAAAATAAGCCTGTTCTGTTAATGCCTTTTTTCTGCGATCAGGAAGGCACCTTATCATATTGGATGTGAATGTTGGATAAAGTAATGTAGATCAGATCAAGTCCTCACGTGACAATTGCCTTATGTTTAAAAAAAAAAGTTCAACTCTCACCGAGCCTCTCTTCACCCAAGCGAGCTGTTTTGGGTGACCCGTATCCAACACAGCACCCAACAACTTTATGTCTCCGTTGTCGCGTGCTGCACTAAGGTTAGTCTCGTGATGACCATGGGAATTGAAATCAGACTTCATATCACAAGCCATGGTTATTCTCGTCTAGGTATGTTACTCTTAATTTAATTTCTTACCATCTTCCTTTGTTCTCTCCACTACCACAGAACTGTTTACTCCATCACCAACTGAAGTGAAGGCCAACATTCGAAATTCATAATCTGTGTACTTTTCAAGCCCACTGACTTCTCTGGAGCGAGTTGTTCTATTTGTAATAATTGTTGTAGATGGAAACATCACAAAACCTCTCTTTTGGTAAAATAATTTAAATCCTGTGATAATTCCATTCCTGGAGTCTGCAGGCGGCGATTGCCAAAATGCCGAAATTCTAGTAGAACTCAGTACAGTTACAGTAAAGTTTCTTGGAGGTTTTGATGGAACTGAAAATAAGAAAGTCAAGATCTGAAACAACTTCCTTATAGTTGTATCTTTCGATTGATTTCTGTATCAACAAAAGGAGCTTACGTGCCTTTAAAACACTTGTTTATAAAGTTCCCCCAAGGACAAAACTACTCAAGACATCATTGGGGGCGAAAATCAAATAACTAAAACCTTAGATGTCAATGATATTAAAATTTATGGAGACCAGAAACCAGACTTTCCCGTCATTTCAAGCAGTCAGTTTGCCAGCCTCCTTGAGGTTCCAGAGTACACGAAAAGATGTTCTTCATCTTGATAGGAGCGAAATGTATTCAAATACACTTAAAATATAATAGCTTCTTATTGTAACAAGCACATTGTACAAATCATTCGAGACTCGTTGAAATATATTAAGGTGTCCCTGTGTGACATAGGAATCTGATGGTATAAGACGCAGATAGATACCCTTCGCTACTACACGCGAAAATCATGCGTAAATCGGCGATAGGAAGAATGAGATGTCATAGCAAAGGAGTTTCAAGCTTGATTGATAAGCACCATTAATGTGGAGTTTATTTTTAACTTTGTACTGATACTTACAAAGAGTTATCATTCGTTGGAAATACTTACCATCTTCCATTGTTCTCTCCAGTATAACGGAACTTTTTGGTCCTTCCCCAGCGGAAGTAAAGGCCAACACTTGGAATTCATATTCTATGTATTTATCAAGCCCAGTGAAAACTCTCTTCAATGTTGATCCATTGTTAATGGTCAAGCTAACTGCTGATCCCGCTGAGCTTTTTTTTCGGTAAAACAATTTAAATCCTTTGATTATTCCATGTCTGGAGTTTGCTGGTGGTAGTTGCCAGGATGCTGTTATAGAGGTAGAAGAGTTTGCAGCCACAGTGAAGTTCAGGGGTGTTTTTGAAGGAACTGAAATTGAACACGTTATCAGGAAACGGCAAGTTTAATCTATATTACATCTACATTTACGTTAAGTGACTAATCTTAAAATATCATTACTAACTTAGAAACTGGCACGTGTTACATTTAGTTCAACCACTTGCATTTTGCTCGAATACCACGCAAACTTGAGATCTACATTGATAAAGGCCCTAAAAAATGACCAGGTCTAGTCGATCTGGACGACTATATTTCCCTTTCGAGCACTGCATTTTTTTGCTCTCTTGAATACTAGAAAAGTCCCGAAGTGTAAGCTACCTTTTCGTATCAATTTGCTATACATCCATACCGTTACCTTCATCTATAAAAAACACAATACCAGAACTGATGAAACACTTATTTTTTACAGCACAAGGGATGTCATAACAGACATCAAGATCGGACCATGAAAAATAATTCTCTCTCTCACACTGAATGCCGACAAAGTGCCACATGTGGAATGCAAAAGCCCTTAACTGAAAACCCAACAAAACACTTACAAATGAAACATACTGGAAGCAAAGCTGTTAATGAAAAAAATGAGGCCTTAAATTTAACAAATGGTAAACACCACAGCGTACACTATTGAGTTATGGATGCACGCGGGAGGTTGCTAAGCACGAAAGAAGCGTAAGAGTCGCTCGAGGCGATAGCCGAGAGCGACTCTAGCTTCTTGAGTGCTTAGCAAACCTCCCAAGTGTATCCATAACTCAATAGTGTACGCTGTGGTGTTTACCATTTGTTTTATAACATAACATTGATACATTGTAGCTAAAGAGTTCCCTTTTATTTAACAAATCTTACGCGACCAGAAAAAAACAAGCGCGCGCGGAAAAATAGTCTTTGCAATTGCTCACGTCAGCAGCGTACACCCATGGGCAAATGGGGGACGCTAAATTGACCAATCAGAACGCGCGCTTTACTTTGGTTATGTTATAATATTACATATAGTTCATCAAAATTCCAGGTTTTAGCTTATTTACAGCATCATCTCTGAAACAATAATATACCGTCCCACACACTGCTGAAGGACAACACAAAATACTGACTTAAAAAAGTGATAATTTTCCGTCGTATTACCATCTTCCATTGTTCTCTCCGCCTTAACAGAACTGTTTGGTCCATCTCCAATAGAAGTGAAGGCTAACACTTGAAATTCATATTCTGTGTACTTGTCTAATCCAGCGACAGTTTTTTTACGACTTGCTCCATCATTTATCCTTAAACTGGTTGCCAACCCTGACAAAGACTTCTCGTTGAAAAACAATTTAAATCCCCTGATGATCCCATGTCTAGAATCCTTTAACGGTAACTGCCAAGATGCTGTAACGCTGGTGGAACTATTTACAACTACAGTGAAGTTACTTGGAGCTTGCGATGGCACTACAGATGTAAGGAAACACTATTACCAATACATTTAAGTAAAACGTATGAGATGGCTGAAAAAGGTTTCGTTTCTTTTCAACTCTATGAATGGACAGGACTACAACTTTTTCGTTTTACTTTAACATGGTATTGCAGATTATGGCAAAAGTACGGTAACTCGAAAACTGCAATCTTTTCTTTTTAAAAATAAAAACTTTGCTAAAAAATATGTTGATTGCCAATCGATACGGAAACAGAGTGTTATGAACTCGTGTGTTTCAATGAGGCTGCGGCGTTGTTAAGATGTCTTTTTGTGTCGAGTAAAGATCGAGATGAAGTAAAGTTTATGATGATGATGATCGAGAAATACGTGGGATATGATAACCGAAACAACACGCGAAAACTGAGGCTTTTATCCATCAATCAGAAGAAACGATTTCAAAGAAACAGGTTTTGGTAAATCATACCATCTTCCATTGTTCTCTCCACCTCAAATAAACTCTTTGGTCCATCACCAGCAGAAGTAAAGGCCAACACTTGAAACTGATATTCTGTGTATTTCATAAGTCCATTTATGTTTCTCCTCTGTTTAGCCCCACTGTAAACACTACTAATAGATAAAATAGTTGGTGCCCTAGTAGATCCCCTAATTTTGTAAAACAATTTATATCCTGTGATGATTCCATGCCTAGAGTTTGCTGGCGGTAGCTGCCAGGATGCTGTAACGCTCGTGGACGAGCGCGCCGTCACGCTTAAGTTCGAAGGTGCTTTGGAAGGAACTGAAAAAGAAACAAAGTCAAAACTCTTTCATTGTGAAAAATTGACTGTGCATTGGAATAGTTATTGTTCGGGCTGGAAAAGAATGATACCTATTCTTTTTATCTATTTATTTATTTACTTGGCTTCCAATCCCTCAACTGCTGTACGAAAAAATGTTCTCTCTGAAGACATAAGAAGCTTGCATGAACATGTACCTCACAGGTTACAGGATTATTTGCCCCGAGTTAAAATTGTCCTTTATACGTCATTAAAAGTACTCAAGCATTATTCCAATGACTTCACTTCGAGGGATTCCCCTTCAGTACGTTAGTTTTTTTTTCAGAATTCCTACCATCTTCATTCGTTCTATCCACAATAACAGAGCTTTTGGGTCCATCACCAGCAGAAGTGAAAGCCAACACTTGAAACTCATATTCTGTGTACTTTTCAAGCCCAGGCACATCTTCAGCAAAAACTGTTCCATTGTTAACAGTTACCATGGCAGCTAAACCTACAGAGCCTTTTCTTTTATAGTATAATTTAAATCCTGTGATGATTCCATGTCTGGAGTCTGCTGATGGTAACCGCCAAGATGCTGTGATACTGGTTGAAGAGCTTGCGGTCACAGTAAAGCTACTTGGTGGTTTTGAAGGAGCTGAATTCAAGAAATAAGATTACAACTGAATAAAAAGAACTTAATGAATTGAATACCCTTTTAAAAAAACCGTCATGCGCATTGGAGTATTTCCTAACAATAACGTGGTGCAATATATTTAGAAATATATCGTTGTAACCTAACTTGGCAAGGCCATGAAAACTTCATACCCGCTTAATCAACCCTAAAGTCTCACGTTTTAGTCGCAAGAAAATTGTCTAGTAGCGGTTTGAGTCCAACACATAGTTATGCAAAGTAAGTTCTCTGCCCAATTTTCCATTTTTCACATACACATAGTGTCAATATAAGAACTACATGTTATAAAAACCGAGACGATCTGTATGTCAAGTATTAATTTCAAATATGTGTGGTTTTTCCCGAATGACGGCTAATTACGCCTGAGATACCCTTGGTACCACAGTGTGTCTAGCAGTGTATGATCAAAATGAAGACAGTCAAAGATCCTGTCACTTTTTTCTCTGTCTTACCATCTTCCATTGTTCTCTCGACCTTAACAGAACTTTTTGGTCCATCGCCAACAGAAGTGAAGGCCAACACTTGAAATTCATATTCTGTGTATTTATCAAGCCCAGTAACTGTTTTACTAAATGTTGCCCCACTATTAATGGACAAGAGGGCTGCTGACCCTGCAGAGCCTCCCTCTTTGTAAAACAATTTAAATCCTGTGATTATTCCATGTCTAGAGCCTGCTGGTGGTAACTGCCAGGATACTGTTATACTGGTAGAAGAGCTTGCAGTGGCAACGAAGTTGGAGGGTGCTTTCGTAGGAACTGCAATGGGGAAGTCGGAAAACTACCGTAAATACAATACAATATTATTCCATAGAAGAACTACACTGTTTTCTAAATGACGCGGCAGTTATAGCCTTGATAATTAAGAACCAAACCATGGTATTTGACCACTACATGTATTACAATTCCGTTATTACGAAATACAGTGCACAGTTACCTATGATTTTACAATTTTCCTGACAAGATCTTTGAGGTTCTTGTTAAGATCTTCAAGGATCTTCAAAAGATCTTGTCAAGAATTTCAAAGTTCCTTAAAATATCTTGGCAAGAAATAGAACATCCATGAAGATCTTGATAAGAAAATGCAAGATCCTTGAAGACCTTGGCGAGAAAATAAGAGATCCTTGAAGATCTTGATAAGAAAATAAAGGATCCTTCACGATCTTGGTAGATCTTAACAGGTCTTCGACAATCCTCAAAGATCCTTAAAGATACTGTGAGGTTTTTCACCTGCGTATGATTTTATAATTTCGTACCATCTCCCACTGTTCTCATAACCTCGACAGAGCTCTTCGGCCCATCACCAACAGAAGTGAAAGCCAGTACTTGAAATTCATATTCAGTGTATTTAACAAGCCCAGTGACATCCTTTGTATGAGTTGCTCCACTCGTGATAGTTATCATGGTTGCTGGTCCTCCCGAGTTCTTTCTTTTGTAGAACAATTTATATCCAGTGATTATTCCATTTCTGTTGTCTGCTGGTGGTAACTGCCAGGATGCTTTTATAACATTAGGAGAGCTTGCAGTCACAGTGAAGTTAGTTGGTGCACTTGAAGGAGCTGTCATTGAGAAATAAAAGGCAAAAATCACATTAAGCAAACACTTTGAATGAGTGGAAAATAATTGTCAAAACAAGCAAAAGCAGGCTGATCAGAAGAGATAAAAATTTAATAGAAAACGTATCTAATATAGCGGTTGAAACAAATTGTAGCATGCATGTATTTCAACTTTATCCATTGCTGATGCTGTTTCTAGGCGATTAGATTACTGTTGGGTAGAAGGTGATCCGATGAGAAAGAACCATGATTTGTATTATGACAGAGAACCTACAACAATCCACAAAGGCACTATAATTACCATCCTCCATTGTTTTCTCCACCTTAACAGAACTCTTTAATCCATCACCAACCGAAGTGAAGGCCAACACTTGAAATTCATATTCTGTGTACTTCTCAAGTCCGGTGAGATAAAAATTTATAGAAGGCCTCGCTCCACTGTTGATAATTAAAGATGTTGCTGAGATGGCAGAGGTTTTCTTTTTGTACAACAATTTAAATCCTCTGATTAATCCATTTCTGGAGTTTGCTGGTGGTAGTGTCCATGTTGCTTCAATACTGGTAGAGGACCACGAAGTCACTGTGAAATTACTCGGAGGTTGAGAAGGAACTAAAATTGGACAATTAATTGGACGAAAATCACAATGATTAACAACTTTTCCACAGAGGTTTAAGAAAATTACGTAAGTAAACAATCTCCAGTGTAACGTCACTGATATCAACTAAATAAATGATGTCTTGAGCATTGTAAAACAAACGTAGAATATGGAGCTTCAAAATGTTGATGCTGACCGCCTCCTGGTTAGCTCAATTGGTTAGAGCGCTGGACTGTCGTGCGGGGGATCGAGGTCGATGGTTTGAGCCCTGGCCGGACCAACACTCAAGGTCTTAAAATAACTGAGGAGAATGCGCTACCTTTCTATAATATCAAGAAATCGATGGACATTCTAGTCTTCTCGGCATCATACGAATAAACCGTAGGTAACTATGCCTGCATCTATCAATTAGTCAATTTGGTTAGGCAGGAGACGTTAAAGAACCCACTCACGAGATTACTGTGATGTGGTCTGGCCTATTTACTGGGAATTGGGGAGGAGGGGGCATCTTCAACTAAGTTACCTTCGAATGTTTGTAAACTACTGATACAGTCCGGCCAAAGTCCCTCGAAAAGTGTTGTGATGTGCATTTGATCATATCCACATGTTAATTTGCGCAATATAAATATTAAATTATTATAAATATTAAATTATTATGTTAACGCATACATTATTGAGTATCAAGTTGAATTAGTTTATCATCATAAAACAACTCAAATATTCTATTTAAATAATCTTTTCATGGTTGATTTGCTGATCATTTTTCATGTTACGAAAGCCAATTTTTCAAGTTAGAGTCTAATAATTCATTCTAAAATTCTCAAATTACCATCTTCCTTTGTTCTTGTCAAAACGACAGAAGTCTTTGGTCCATCCCCGACAGAAGTGAAGGCCAACACATGAAATTCATATTCTGTGTACTTGTCTAATCCCGTGAAAACTTTGTTACGACTTGCACCATCGTTTATACTAAATATGGTAGCCAACCCTGAGAACGATTTCTTTTTGAGGTACAACTTAAATCCTGTAATAATTCCATGTCTCGAGTTCGCTGGTGGTAACTGCCATGATACTGTAATACTGGTTGAACTAATAGCAGTCACATTAAAGCGGCCAGGTGCTCGTGATGGAACTAATAAAATTGAGGAAAAAAAAGTAATGCTTTACTGATTGTGCAATGCAAATGAGAGATAATTTTCCAAGCGTCTGTATGACTACTGAAAGTTCAGACCAAGAACAGATGCCACATAGATTTGCACAATCCTAGCATCCACGCTTAAGTGCCACACAGGTTCAGAGGAAACACATGAAAATTCAGGATAAGACCACTTTTTCCATTGCATCATACATAGATTACTGATCCTTGCATGCATTACGAGTGAGCTCAGGATGGTCACATGATTCTCAGGAAACCATTGATACACATGCAGCAGTGCAAAGAAGGCATAGGTATCATATCACTACTTACATCCTTTTGAAGTGACATGCCCATTTCGCCCATGGTGATAAAGCTACTGTTAGTGGGAGGGATTATCCTCAGGCACATAAAGAAATTCTGATCACACCAATCATTTATGACACGATTGCGATAACTTTTGAAGTAAACGGCCAAAACTGCAAAGAAGGTGGCGAATGCAAGTTCTATCTTTACTTTCATTTTCAGGGAAAATAGGCAGTGATTTCACTTCAAAATAGACGACAAAGTTCACCGATTGTCAGCTGTTAGTGAAACCCCTGCTAGGATCTATTCTCTTTCTTCTGTTACCTACCATCTTCCATTGTTCTCTGCACCTCAGGGGGACTCCTTGCTCCGTCTCCATGAGAAGTAAAGGCTAACACTTTGAATTCATACACCGTATACTTTTCCAGCCCAGTGACAACTGTACTTAGTGTCGCTCCATTGCTAACGGTCAAGAGCGCTGCTGGCGCTTGGGAACCACGCTTTTTGTAAAACAATTTAAATCCTGCAATGATTCCATGTCTGGCATATCTTGGTGGCAACTGCCAGGAAGCTTCAATGCTAGTTGAGGAATTTGCAGTCAATGCGAAGTTACCAGGGGGTGGTGATGGAACTGAAGCAAAAAATATGACATGCATGTTTGACGCATCAAAGATTCCTAACTAAGATCCGATGAATGTACTTACAAATCAATTGCTGAGAGAAAAATTGCTTGCTATGTGCCTTAAACAATTTTTTAATGATTGCCAACATGAGCTTGACAAGGGTGGATGGAAACCATCTGTGATGGTGAATTAAATACATACAGCATGTAACAATGTTTCCAGCGATGGCCCATCATCACAACAATTTGTAGTGGAGGTGTGACTCTTTAAATTATGTATAACATACTTCATCATATAAAATGCGGTGTACTATAAGGATTTCAAGCCTCTAGAAAAGCCAAATTAACACACACGTGAAAAAAATACGTTAATTTTCACGTGTTTGATATCGCCAATCAGCTGCTGACACGTCACTCGCCTTTCGCGCCACTTTAACGGGTGTTGATAAATGAATGGCAAAGTTTACACCGTATCCTCAAGCCATGGTTGTTAGTTGAGATTTCTGCGGACTATGGATACCAAAACACTTAGACATTCGTATTGCTTACCGACAGTGACGCTCAAAATTTCCTAGTAGGGGGAAGAAAACCACAATTTGAAGAGAAAAACCGAAAGTTACGTACTCAGTAGCTTTGGTAATGGCATTTCTCGGGGTGTCCCGAAAACACTGACCGCCAGTCCATGGACCCCCCTACGGACCTGGTCTACGGACCCCTGTACGGACCGGTCCACGGACCCTCTACGGACACCCCTTTACGGACCCTCCATGAGAAGACAATATAACAATGACAACTTATAGGGATTTGACTTACCGATGTTTTTTTGTTCGCGGTGGCGAAATTTTGAACAGGAGTGAGTCTGAAGATGACCTGGCTTTTCGAAAGCTGCGCGGTATTTTCCCTTGTCTATCAATCATTGAATAAAAGTCGCCCTGCTGAAAGATTTGGCAACTAAACACATAACGTACTGTCAAATATCAAGATCTCTAATCAGTCTAATGAACATTGACATTTTTCTTTGTCGAAGGAGCACTGTTTTGTGAAGCCTGGGTCGAGTATATGAACACGCGGGGGATTGAACCGAACAAAATGGCGGAGGCAACTGGTAGCAGCGAATGCAGAAGGATACATATACACAAGTTAACTAAGTTATCGGTCTTTTCCTTTATTATTTTTTTTTTCTTTACCTTTTAGTCAGCTTTATTCCTCCTTTCATTGCCATGGTAATATTTGGAATATTAACGCTCAAAATTTCGCCACCGCAAACAAAAAAACAACGGTAAGTCAAATCTCTATAAGTTGTCATTGTTATTATTGTCTTTTCATCGGGGGTCCGTAAAGGGGGATCGTGGAGGGTCCGTGGACCGGTCCGTACAGGGGTCCGTGGACCAGGTCCGTTGAAGGGGTCTATGGACTGGGGGTCAGGGTTTTCGGGACACCCAACTTCTCGCGGCTGAGAACGAAAATCGACAACTGGAAGATGTGCTACAGGCCGATTTTGGCCGTGTAACTGAAAATACTTTTTCTGTCGGTAAGAAAAAATACGGTGGCCCATAGGGGACATGACAAATTTTGTTTTTGTTTTTTTATCGCACGATAAAATCAAAAGATCGCGCGATAAATGAAATTATGCCCACTGATTGTTTTTGTAATGAGTCAACGCACTTTTTTTATCTTAACCCTATCGCCGATGCGCTCGCGGATTGTCTATATTGTTTTTGTTTTTTTTTTCGTTTTTTTTTTTTTTCTATTCACTGTTAAAATTGACTTTCCTTTTCAGTAAAGGGCTATGTGTTCATGTCTAAACAAAATAATACATGGTTGCTTTTAGATATGGAATTTCTCTTCTAGTTTTCAACTCGCTTTGTACACTCGACATATCTACGCGCGCCCATTACTCTATATGTTTTTTCTATATTCTCTAAACAATATACTGTAAATTGTATGTGAAAGAGACCTGTTTTGCTTGAGTTAGCGAAAAATGTTTTTATTTAATACCATAGCATTTATTAAAAACTGCATCATTGGATAATGCAATTCAAGACTTTTCATAGGCTTAGCCATGATTATGGTATATGAGCCAATATACCATAATCTAATATCTGTACACTGTAACATCCGGTTTCTTCTTACAAAATAAAGTCAAGAAGATTTGTTTAATATCTTGGGGGTGTTTTTTTTTTTAGTAAAACAATTATTCCACTTGTTGGATATGAGATGATTATAACCAACTCAGCGCTACGCGCCTCGTTCACTATCTATCATCTCCTATCCAATGCGCGCTCGTGGAATAATTGTCAAATACATGTACTTTGACTCGATATTTCACAATTGTATACACTGTAAGTTTGTTGTGTTTGTACACTGTTCATTAATTAACAAATGATTCACCAAAGTGGAAGAGTAGGAAGCCGCAAGGTAACTACACGTAATCATCCACCGCCTTCAGCAACATTGTCTCAAATAACTGTTTTAGTTTAGAATTAACACACAAGAAAACACAAAAATATCGTGCTGCATCAATGACCTGTGATACACATTTTCTTTTTTTCATCAGAAATGTTCATGATAAAACAGGGAGACTGCCAATTCTTTTTTTAATATCTAGTTCTTCCTTCCTTTACCTTAATAATTCATTCTGGAACACCAAGGAGGCCTGTGTGTAGCTTAAGACTGGCTATCACAGTGGGATATATTCTAATAGCAAAAGAGCAATTAAAGGTACCTTGAGTTACTCGTATTCCATACACTTCCACTCTCAAACCCTTATATCCTGAAAAAGCTGTTGGCTGGAAGCGGATATACTTTGCACTAGCAAATTCATTGAGACTCTGTTTTACAATGTCATTTTTTCCTGAATTTCCATTGAAGACCTGCAATTTGTAGCAAAGTGCAACATCAATGAAGATAAAATGAGCAGCTCCTTACAATTTTTTAATATTATAAGAAAGCACATATACAGCCAAAAATCCCTTGAACAGCAACCCCAAGAAAAACCAAAATACCGGTACCAATTGCTTGTTGTAATATATAGTTTAAATGATCGGAAATGGGTCAGAAAAATGGCTGCTCTGCTTTTATGGAGAGGTGGCCACTTTAATAAGGTGTTTGTGAGCTCAGCCTGTTCCTTTTTAGACTTTGACAACCATCATTTGGAGATTCAAGCATTCCTTAGCATCTAAAATGTTCCTTCGGATAAAGAAATGACTTGAGAAAGCATACGAGTTTTTTTTCATCATGCCCCTTTTAAGGTTGAATACAAGCATGGTGTTACAGACCAGTATGCATAAGTATGTTTCTACAAACTGACATACAAATGATGATGACAGGACTAATTTTCTCAGCTTGATGGTTTTGCCAAACATTAAAAGCCATACGGGATCTGCAAGGATTCTACATACATTGCTTACATGCATATACTGTACGTGCACTACTCATCTTACTAAAAATTAATAACCTGGAAGTTCATATAAACAAACCTTATCAGCATTGTTTTCCTGATAGGTGACAAAGTTTGTGTCTTTAAGTGATAAGCGTATCTTGTACTTTGTTGTCCACTCTTTACTGCTTGGATTTCCCTGTGTAGCTACAGCACAGATGACATACTCAAACAAAAGGTCAATTTGAAGGTAATCATTAGCATTATTGTTCCCCCTTGGTGCCCATGACTTTGCGCCATTTAGGCGACCATATTTAGCTGCATATACTGAACTAAATTCTGACAAGGCTGAAAAGCTGCTGTCTGGAATGGTATCCCTCCTGGCTACACCAATGGCCTGCATAGAACATCCTGTAAGATAATAAAATATAATCAACTCTCCCTAAATAATTAAATGCAGAAAAAACACTTTATAACTTCGTTTTACCCATATTTTCAAACAAAAACATTCATACCCTATTCTCTATCTACTATTAAAATTTGATTCTTGGGTGAATACAGAGACACTTAAAGGTCATGTAAAAGAATACCATATCACCATGCAAGGCTTTATCCCTTTCTTTTGAATGATTCTAGATGTAAATTCAGTTACATGCAGGTACCAGTAATTATTCTTGCCACTAATTTAATAACCAAGTACCTGCACATTTGTTATGCAAATTACAATCTGAGGGTTTAAAACTTTGTTCAAACTTTACCTGAGTATACTAGACTGTTATACACTGCCACTAGTATGTAATCAACAATTATGACATAACTGTAGTAAAGCACTTGCTCTGATTGGTCAATTCAGCACCCACCATTTGCCCATGGGTGTACACTGATGACATATGATCAAATGCAAAGACTACTTTTCTGTGCATGCTTGTTTTTTCTGGTCACATAAGATTTGTTAAAAAAAAGAAAACTCTTATATTGTTAAACGAAAATGGTAAACACCACAGTGTACACTATTGAGTTATGGATGCACTTGGGAGGTTTGCTGAGCTCTCAAGAAGCTAGAGTTGCTCTCGGCTATCGCCTTGCACAACTCTTACACTTCTTTCATGCTTAGCAACCTCCTGCATGCATCCATACCTCAATAGTGTATGCTGTGGTGTTTACCATACGTTAAATAGATTCCATGTTGCTGTATGTCTGTTCAGAAATAGATCACAGATGACATCAAAAATTAATGCGGTAAGAACGAAAAAGTGGCACAAATATGACAGGCACAACTAAGTGTGTCACTGATGTTCTCATCACATTTTGATGTCTCTTGTGATCTGTTAACTGTAAAGACCCTGATAGTTATTTTGTAAGATTAAAAAAGCCAAGTATTCAGGGCTCAACACTAACCGTAGCCAACTAGCCACGGACTTGTAGAAATTCAGTTTTGGCTAGTGGTTTTCAATTCCCACAAGCCAGTTTGGCTAGTAAACAAACTGAAATTTTTGTAAAATCTAAGTTGTCACTAGCCACTTGGCTAGTAAGTTGAAAAGTTAGTGTCAAGCCCTGAATATTGTTTATGATGATGTCATCTATGTGTCCGTCCTCCAATCATAAGATTATAAGTTCTGCAGGAACCAATCAAAATGCATGTAGAACTCAGGTTATCATATAATAGCAAACAATGCCATATACTGCATAATTATATACACTGTACACTCACTTGGATTTTGTTTCACCCCAAACACCTCTGTTCTCATACACACCTTACCATGGTGTGTTTGTGGCAGAAATCGCAGATACCTTGTTAATACTTCATAAACAGGGTGTTTAACCACTGAATTTCTATTAGCATTTCCTTCTAAAACCTAGTTAAAAACAATATTCACCTATCATGACATTTATTCTTCCAAGTACATGTGGATAGAGCATGAATAATCATAGACCACTCAGAAATGGTAAGCCCATGCATGATTCTGATTTTAACATGTTGGTGCAAAAACCTTCATAGTTTCTTTCTTGAAAGAAACTCCTATTAATTCCAAACATGCTGTCACAAGACTAGCAATATTCATGCATGCTAAAAACCTGGTGTAAGATGTATATACAGTATTAATATCAGCAATCACTTTGTGACTATTCATATCACAACTTTTAAATAGGACAGGTTTTCAATGTCATTATACTTGTAAGCTATTCTATGTCTGACTTGAAATTTTTCTTGTGTCTCACAGTGTACATTCGTTACCTTAACTTGTCCACCTTCCTTGTAGTCTTCCCAATTTGTCCCATCTGTGGATAATTGTAGTTTGTAAGTCTTCACCCACTGATCTGCTTGAGAATTCCCTTGAGTGGACACAGCACAGATGATATGAAGTGTCTGAAGATCAATCTGTAGATATGGGTTACTATCACTTGTTCCTGCACACCATGAAGATCCTGATGTGTAGTTCAGTCGACCATTCTTGGCTGGTGTGCCAGCATTTTGTGCAGAAGAAGCAGTTATTTCATTGTCTTGAATTTCTCCACCTTCCATTCCAATATCCAGGTCAACACAATCTCCTATTAATTATAAATAGATAGTATGCATTTGTACTTCCTATGGCACATAAATATATCTCATTAACCAAGCACGAGGGCCATACTGGGAGAATATTGGCCTGAGGTCTTGACAGTACGGACCGAGCGCAGCGAGGTCCATACAAAAAAGACCGAGGGCCGATGTTCTTCCAGTACGGTCCCGAGCAAGCTTGGTTAATAAGAGATTTATTATACGACTGAAGTTCAAAGGGACATGCACAAGTGCGGTATCATTCGGGACCATTGGGGACAGTGCCCGGTCCAATACTGAGAGAATATTGACTGGCAATAGAGCATTTTGATTGGTTGATTTTAGTTATTGGCCCTCTGACTGCCTGAGTCCTGTAATAAATAGATGATAATTAAGGCTTTGGATAATGGTATACCTTCATATTAGAAATATCAATCAACAGAAATTGATGGTTGGGTAGGGCACTCTTTTAACTATTGCAGTGACAAAATGTTTAAAATATTCCTTTTGGTTTTATTTAGATATTTTTGTCACACTAACAAAGAAAAAAAAATTACTAAAGTCAAAGGTCAGTGGGGGACATTATTCTAAAAAAGAATGAATTTTTATCCAGTTGCAAATCCCTCCTAGATAAATAGAAAGACAGTTAGACACTTATTTCAACTGATCAACTCATTACAGAGTCGTTTTTATCCTGTTGCAAAGGCCAGACTTAAAAAAAGACTTAAAAGAATGAATATATTTGGCGAATTCTCACCATCTTTTAAAGTTCTCTCCACTAGGGAAGAACTCTTTGGTCCATCGCCAGCTGAAGTGAAGGCCAACATTTGGAATTCATATTCTGTGTACTTAAAAAGCCCTGTAAAATCTTTAGTATTAGTTGCTCCATTGTTAATAGTCGTTACATTTGCAAGGCCTAGAAAGCTTTTTCTTTTCAAAAACAATTTAAATCCTGTAATGATTCCATTTCTGGAGCCCACTGGTGGTAACTGCCAAGATACTCTCACAATTGTAGAAGTAACTGCAGTCACAGTGACACTGCTGGGAGGTTGTGATGGAACTGCAATTGAAATAATGAAGCATTTATTGTATAATGAATGTATGGTCCTTACAAGCGAAAACTTGAAACTTATTTTGCAAGTGCCTGCATGACTAGTGAAAGGAAAGACTAATTAATGCCAGTCAGAAGACATTACAGCGGACTAGTGCGTTACCAGAGCAGAAGACATTTAACAGTGGACTGCATTATCCAGCCAAAGCCCTACATGTTCACACTGCTTGGTACCTACAGTGGCACACTGCAGACACAGGTTCAGAATGGGGTAAGTCTAAAGCATGAAAATCCAGACCAGTTTACTGAGACATGTACATTAATTTTGTAATGTATGTTTGTATTTTTAAGGTATTCAACAAAGGCATTGCAAGTGTGAAATTTAAGATGTAATACAATTAAACAATATCATTTAACACAGAGAAGTATACTTAGAGAAAGGTTTTTAAATTATTTGTTACAAGATCTACAATAGGACAGAGAGAAAATCTGACAGGAATAGAGTATGTGGCATCTCTTAAATGTATAGCAGGTTAAATAATTTTACTTACAATTTGCCACATAACTCTTTCACCTTTAGTTTATTTTTCACATACCATCTTCCAGTGTTCTCTTCACCTTAACAGAACTCTTTGGTCCATCCCCTGCCGAAGTGAAGGCTAACACTTGCAATTCGTATTCTGTGTACTTATCAAGTCCAGTGACAACTCTACTCCGTGTGGCTCCACTGTTAATTGTCAAAGTGGTTACTGACCCTGCTGAACCTTTCTTTCTGAAGAACAGCTTAAACCCTCTTATCCTTCCATTTCTGGCAATTCCTGATGGTAACTGCCAGGATGCTGTAATACTAGTAGATGAGCTTGCAGTCAAAGTGAAACTACTGGGGGATTGTGATGGAACTGTGATAAAAAAAAACAAGATGCATGCTTTGAACAATTGGTTGATAATCAAATTGAAGAGGATGATGATATTAATTTAATAATTTAGTAAATTCTCTCAATCTGGTATAATAATTGGAAAAGAGGCATTAAGTTTCTTCCATTTTCTTTTACACAGTATATTGTATAATTCCACCTATTTTCTGAAATAATGATACAGTACGTGTCCAGATGTTTTCAGTAAAAAATGTGTGCCAATATGACAGTGACTGCTTCAGTATGTCATTCATTCCTTTCAGGTACCTTTAAGTTAATTATTGTTTTCTACAACACAATAAACCTGCAAATATAACCTGTGTACAGAATGTAACCTGTGTACAGTACTGTGCATGTAAATTTCAAAATTTCATTATTGCTTTTACATTAATTGGTACCTAGTAATTTTATTGAGGGCTGCTTATCAACATAACAGGCAGATAAATCGAAGATCATTAATGAGGTTGCTGAATCTGCTTTGATGAGTTTTATGAATCAGAGGTTGAACCAATGGGAAGTCAAGGTGAACATTGGGGTTTCCTTGTGCTGCAATATGTCTCATCAGGTGTTTCTTAATGATTACCCCCATCACAAAGACTCCCCATACTTGGACTCTCATAGGAGCAACCTGTCTATTGGGATATTTTATGACTCTCCAGTTTCCAACCAATCTGAGTTTGCACTAATCCACAAACTATTGAAGCAAGAATGGCTTTGAGTGAGCAGTCATCATGCTCAGTGAGAGTGATTGTACTGATTTCTTCAAATCACTCCTTGAATGCTTTGCTCACTCCAAGTGGTTTGGTATGAGTCTGACTCTCCAACATAACTAAACAGAGAAAATCCAACATCCCAATAGCTCTTTATGATCCAGGGCAGAGGGGGGGGTTGAGGGTGAACCCAACTGACAAAAATCACCAAGAGGTAGAACTTGTAATGGCAATTTATCAGGAGCTCAATTTTCAATTTATTTATACTTTGTTTTCCCATCAAAGAAGTTGATTTAAAAACAAGTAGAATTTCAGTTCTTTCTCTCCTCTTCTAACCTAATCATAAACTGGTGTGAGTACTTGGAAAAATGGCCTCTAGTTAAAACTGGGTATTGTTAGCACATGAGAAAAGATGAGACATTTAAATCAGAATTAGCATTTAAATTAAGGTAAACTATATACCTCTGATCACACGAATTCCATACAGTTCCACTCTCAAACCTTTATAACTTGAATAAGCTGTCGGCTGGAAGCGGATATACCTCGCACTTGTAAATTTATCAAGACTGTGCTTTTCAATGTCATTTTGTCCACTATTTCCATCGAAGACCTGGGATTTGCAGCAGAGTGCAATATGTTAATGAGGACAAATGAAATATTCAGTTAGAACCTCAATATTTTAGCTCACTAGGAAAGCAATACACAAACAGACTTTCATTCATTCACCCTTGAAAGAAAGACTATAATTATACTTAATATAAAATTATATTAATTATATTAACTGGTTGATCATAAAAATGTAAAACATTGATCCGTGTTTTGTCACGTGTGTAGCTGGAGCTAAACCCACCTTGTCGGCACTGTTTTCCTGATAGGTGAAAAAGTTTGTATTATCAAGGGATAATCGTAACTTGTACTTTGTTGTCCACTCCCTAGCTCTTGGATTTCCCTGTGTAGCTACGGCACAGATGACGTACTCAAACAGCAGGTCAATTTGAAGGTAATCATTAGCATTACTGTTCCCCCTTGGTGCCCATGACTTTGCATTATTTAGGCGACCATATTTAGCTGCATATACTGAGTTATATTCTGACGAGGCTGAGAAGCTGCTGTCTGGAATGGTACCACTCCTGGCTACACCAATGGCCTGGGAATAACACACTGCAAGATAATGATCCATAATAACCCTTTTATACCCTAACATCAGTTTCCTTATTCTCCATCCTCTTCTCTATAATTTTCCTTAGATGTTGATAAGGAGAATTTGTTTGACAATCAAGAGCTTTTTTAATTGGCGATCATAATTCCCCTATTATGTAACTATATGTAACCTTTATGAGTGATTCAAAGGTGATACTGTCGGAAGATTTTAGATGCTAGGCACTAAGGGCTAAGAGGGTGAATGAATGTCATTCAGCAGTATAACTGTAGACTGAAATTAGCTGCAGGTCGCTCATTTAAAATAGAAATACATTAAAATACATTTCACGAAAAGTCTTTTTAATTAGTAATTTAAACTTCTTGTATCTGAAAGCCTAATTTTGTCCTGACATTAATTGATTTAATTTGATTTAATCACTTGGCCAACCGGCAGGGACACTGCAACAGCTTGCTCCAATTACTGCGCACCCAATAAACCCACCCATCCCCCCCCCCCGGGGAGGACATCCATCACACAGCAATCTCGTGTGTGGAAAATTTAAACGTCTCCTACCCCAACCCTGCAGGAGACAGGACCTCCATAATTATTCGTCCCTATCTGAGAAGACTAGAATATCTAACCGTTTCTTGATGTTATAGAAAGGCAGCAAATTCTTCTCAATATTATTTTAAGACCCTGAGTGTTGGTCCGGCCGGGGCTCGAACCCTCGACCTCCCACACAACAGTCCAGCGCTCTATCCATTGAGCTAACCGGGAGGCAGTTAACTAATTATCTTACCATGGTAACAATGATTCAGTTGTTAAGAGTTGAACATGAAATGAGTTTCCTCCTTAATTAAACATGAACTTAAGTTTCATTGCTGTGTCTAGCACACTAAAAAAATTTTAAATTTACAGTAAGCCATTAACACCCTCTTCACTTTGTAAACTATTAACAAGAAACTTGTCCAAGCAAAGAGATTTGCATTTCAATATTTTCCAGTTATAAATGGTTGTTGTTTTAATGTTGCTCACTTTTTTGTTTATGGATGAGTGAAAATTATTTGTATCATTAAAGGTCATTAGTCTGAATAACAAAAATGGCACATGCACATCAGACAATAGGTTTAGGAATTAGGCTAACAAGATACACCCTACATTATAAATGAGTGTAACAAATAGGTTAACTTTTTAGTTGCTGAACATACACTTGATTACAAGTGCAGTATAGTCGAGTACAAGTATTATGTTTCAAACTCACTTGGCTTTTGTTTCACTCCAAACACCTCTGTTCTCATACACACCCCACCCTGGTGAGTTTGAGGCAGAAATCGGAGATATTTTGTCAACACTCCATAAATAGCATGTTTCACCTCTGAGTTTCTGTCAAGATTTCCATCGAGAACCTTAAAAAGAAAAGGAAACAAATCCTCATATCTCCCCAAAATACTTATCATCAAGGTTAAAAGGTTAGGAATAATTAACAAATACATTATTGATCCTATTTCTATTAATTCTTTCAAACATTATAGTATAT